GTTTATAGTTGAAATGATGAGTCAATTGAAGCTAAACCACTATGAAAAGCCTAGAAGCTCTGGACGGCCGTTTCGTCCTACTGTGGGACTCTTCAGCAGTGGTGCGCATCCACGATCCTCTTTCCACAAAAAGCCCCTTCTGATCATAATCATATGCTCACTAGGGACTGGCTTCAGGAGAGAGTTCCTGGAGTTCTAGTGAGAAGCAGTGACCAGTGGAGTTCAACCAGGTCTGTTGTGAGATCGTAACTCAGTGAAGACAATGGCGGACGGTTGCTCGGTTTTGTAGACTGGTTGAAGATATACATTAACACCCTTGGATGCCGACTCAGTGGTCTAGAGGTTAAGCGCTCGCGCAGGACTGATAGGTCCTGGGTTCGAATCTCGTGAGGCTGGATCGTGGATGCGCACTACCGCTGAGGATTCCCACAATAGGGTTAAACGGCCATCCAGTGCTTCCAGGTTTTTCATGGTGGTCTAGCTTCAATTGACTCATGTTTTCAACCATAAGATAACGGAACGTTCCTATAAGTATTGTAGGACTAGTGAAATGTCACTGAGCCCAAGCCAACCCATCTGGCAGTCGGGTGACTGAATGTCGAACAGCTCACCTATCCCCGTCAAGGTAAAGAACAACCAACGCGCATCTCTTGATGGTATGTCACGGAATGGCCCATGAGGTGGTGGTCTTTTCGAGCCTGTATGTAACCATCGTTCTATTAATAGAAAAAAAACCAGACTAGTTGTGAATCGGCCTTTATTAAGATTGCGGAATAGTCACCCTGGAGCGGGGAATTAACTTCTCATACACACAAGGCTTTTCAACATTCAATAAAAAACAATTGGAAATATAGTATTCATAAGAAATAAAGAAGTGAATGAATACTTAGGCTCTTTTATTTTGACATGTACTTAGTTACTTGAGGTCAACTCTTAACTAATCGTCCTAGGCTGTTAGAGTCTCACCATCTTCCTTGTACTCGTTCTTACTTATATACTTCATCAATAACTTCCTTTGTGTTACATGGTCTTCAAAGCAGACATAGTACCTTAATACAAAGAAGGGGTGATCCCAGTTAGGTGCTGACCGCGAGGTGTGACATCCAGGTTAGCTATAGGAGACATCATTCTCGTCTAACTCGGGTAGAACCCCAACCATTCAGCACAGATCACCTTAGTGATCTACACTTGTGGGCAAGACTTCGAATAACGCAACCCATCGTTATAATCGTTATTATTGCATTATTGTTTATTCTGTTTCATTTTTATAGTCGCCCATGTTACTTATTTACTGTGAAGATTAGTTGCTTCATGTCAATGTTGATTAGTATTTAAACTTAAATAATATGTTCAATCGACAGAACCAACCAATCAACTACGAATATAATCGGCTATCGTGGTTCTTTAACAAGCATTAGCAGCATGTAAATGCTTCTGTGTGATATGTTTGTCAAAATATCAACCACTCGTAAATATAGCCACACAGCAACACGAACTTACATCTGTTTGTAACTTATCCACTTGTATAAGCGAAATAAGAATAACTGTCGATTGTGAACTCATTTTTCCGCTTAATCACTATCAACGATCTTCAATCAGAAACTATCTACTAGAATGTATTACTTACACGACTACTGCTTGCCTAATTTCCAGTCGCCGAGTCTCATGGTCAAACGGACGATACGAATGCTAGAAACTTACTATGAGTTTGAACTATAAATTTCCTGCAATGTTAGATCTTGTTTAGACTGTTCGTCATGAAGTGCTACGTGATTGGCTTAAATTAATTTTGGACTCTGGCGAATTCAGTCTACAACTCTGCGTTAAATAAAGAATTTAATGAACAGTACCTCATATACAATCCAAACTCAAACCACTGTCTAGAGCATCTTACTTGTTGTAAACAGTGCTCTTCATTTTCTAACCCTCCTGGAATTTCATCTTGTCATTCGGTATTCCCAAAAGACGCAGGCATGAATGCGTACACGAGGTTATGTGGGTAGGCGATTAATCGACGATAACCCTCATTCTTGTGAAAACGTGGATAAAAATTCATTGAGGGAGAACAGGTTCGGCAGATGTTTCTCTCGTAGTAAATTTGACCTATGCAATTTATGTGTCTTTCTTCATGCTAGATGCTTCAGGTGTAGTAAGATGGGACATATACAGTTGTTTCGTAAAACTACTCTTCGTTCCTCCGTAAGTAATACAATACGTTTTCATTCCGATCCAACGATCATTTATCTTTATCCACCATTCCGAAGAACAGTATGGAGTTGTATCTCACTTCAGAACTAAATGAAGTCTTGTTAGCCTTTAATAGTTCTGAAGCTGAACTCCAGCTAAAACAAACTTATACTTCACGGGACGTTTGACGTGAAAGCTGGACGGACAGATTTTCGGAAAGTAATAAGAGCATCACAATGAACACAATTGTGTAGATCATCAACAAAGACGATCTAATTCGGTTGATTAGGGACCCACTGTGGTATTCGTATGAACTAATGATTCTTTCTTACTTGATGCTTGCCTGATTTCGAATTTTGAATACAGTACGTTCGTTTGTGCTCATCCGGTTCTTTTCGGTCTAAATTACGCTATTTCATGGATTCTTAGTTCGTATAATAATTCAAATGCTTCTAATTATCACACGTACTCGAGTTAAACGGGAATGGTGTCACTGATAGCTAACGTCTAAGTCACACCTCGCGGCCAGCACCTAACGCTGATTACCTCTTCGTAGTATCAGAGGTCTATGGCTGTTCTGAAGACCATATAACACAAAGGACGTTATTACAGAAATGAATTGGTTAAATTAGGAACAAGGGAGTAGTTGAGAACACCACAGCAAAGGCCTGTTCATAGTATGGAATTGATTGATATATGTTGGCTGTTCTTAACGTTGACGAGGAACAGTGAAATGTGTGACATTCGGTGACCTGACTGCCGAATAATTTGTCTAGGACTCAGTGATATTTCAGTGGCCTCACAAAGGCATCAAATGAGACTCAGAGTTATCGTGAGACAAATGTTTTCAATGGGCCAACTTATCGGATTTCTCACGTTCCTTTACTAGATATCGGTTGTCCTAATGATCCATGCACTTCTGGTGTACTTTCCCATAAAAAAAGATCAATACGTCTAATGAATCATTTCACGATTGCAAATTTGATGCAATTCTGATAACTGCAGTTTTTTCTTATGATCCATTATTCTTTGGTGGGATCCCTAGTAAATTTGAGGAAAACATTTCAAAAGAATCAAGTCCTGGTGATATCATATCAAATGTTATTAATCATTGTAACATATTTGTTTCTGGTGGAAAACTTTTTCCGTATGAAGCACAAGTTCTAAACGAATTCCACCGTAACAACAGTTCGAATGATCCCATATCAAATGTTGTTTGTCCTAACCATGAAGTCACTTCTAATGGATCCACCAGTCAATATGAGAAACGACTTTTTCAATAAAGCTACATTATTCATAACTTAAGGATATGAAGATTCAAAATCATTTCCTGGAGCAGAATAGTGTTGGAAGATCTATGGTTCAAATTCTAGATATCAATTATTTGAGTACAACCAACCGACATGTTGATCAAATACCATTCCAATAACCTGTTGAGTCTGTTTAAATCTCGTTTAGTAAATCTAATACTAATTAGTACATTCTAGACCATACAGAGTCTACATCCAATACACAGTCGAACAGACGCACAATGAACCTAAGGAGAAGTACAATTGATTGCAGAAATTTAGATTCCCATTCGGGCTATGGTGGATGTGATATATGTATGAACTGATGATTCCCTTGTGTTTGATTGTCCATCGATTGCAATACAATACATTCATTTGTGCTAATCTACTGCTACTTGTCTTAAATTGAGCCATCCCAGGGATTCCTAGCTAGTAAGATAATCCAAATACTTTGTAGCGGTAAATAAATCCCCAAGATCAATAGCTCTAAAGGTGTTCGACATTGGATGCTGACAACATTAGTTATAGTGGACTCACCTAACCGAAGGCGCTCAGCCATGCATCCTCATCAGATCACGAGTGGAAACACCGCGCTCAACTTCTCCTGCGATCACCAGCCAGTTCAGATCAGTCACTCTTTGATATGTTTATAACCTTTCAAACATATCTTCCGACCTCTTCGCTTCTGACTTTCAATTTCACTGGGTTGACACGGTTCAATTATAGGTGTTGCTGGTTAAAATGCTGTCAAACTACAATACATGTGGCATCTTCAACTTCTAATGGTCATTGTACCTCAATAATCCCATCAAAAGTTCTCATGTTTTGTCACACACTTGTATGTATCTTATCAGTTGCTGTGTGGGACTGCTGAAATAGTTTGTACTGCGGCTGAACAAGTTAAACGTTTGTATCCAAATGTTGAAAGAAGTGCGTGTTAACATTGAAACCTATGAGATCCACGGTGATCGAAATGACTTGATCATTCTGGTGGGCTGGATTCTCTGGTGCTGGAAAGATACGTATATGATATGTGTCAATGATATCGGTCTACCCGAGTTGTATGGGAATGGTGTGACTTACTAACATACGTTGAATTTACGTCTTTCAGTTGAAACATCCCAAGTTATCCTTCCGTGATAACTGCGTTGATGGACTAGCTGAATGACTGGCTACAATAAATACTCGCAATAGGCAGCAGAATATATTAATATTAACAGGTTGCAAGGTACAAAGCGGAATCCTCGCTGGATTCGCATGTTCATAAGGTCAAATGGACTAATTCACACCAGCCATACATGACGTTTTTCAACAGACTTTCTATGGGTTATTGATCTGTTGTTTAACGTAGAAATGGTCTAACCTGATGGATAATTTGTCAAGTGTCGGGTAACATTTCACTTGACATATTTGTCCTTATAATTAACTAAGAATCAATGGTAAGTGCGACGAAATAATCGAAGTAAATTATCCGTCGCTATTCTAAGAATTTCATCGAAATACAACTTGTTTTATGTTCAAGCGTTTATTTTTAAATGTTTTGAATTCTCATTACATATGTGTCGATTATCGTCAAATGCACATAGATCATCAAGATAAGAATAAATTTCAGAATTTTAAGAAAGCTATGAAGGGAAACAAATAATCCCATCAAGATTCAGGCACGCTTTGAAGATTTTTGAACTTTTGATAAGAAAGTCTCTCTTGTTTTAACTGTCAACCGTCATATTTGAGCGCAGCTACGACTGTTAACGAATCGGTTCAGTAAAATGTTCAATTGTGCGCTGGGATCTATTGTGTAGACTATAAACTATGGAATTTTACTTCACATTGACTAAAAAGCTGAGCAAATATACCTGGAGCGTTCAGGTAAGTTTGGGGATACATCATATGTTGCGTTGGTGTAACGCATATTGGTCGCTACATTTGATGACACTTTTGAATATTTCTTAATTGGATTATCTCGAAGTAGAAGCGCCATGGGAGAAGAAGCATATAGGTTTTGTATTTCAAATTTGGATATAAAGTAATTAATATGCCACCGTACATATTTAAGGTGAACTATTTTAGTCGTCAAAAATATGAGATAATGAAGCATTTGAATGCCGATTATGCTATGTTTTTCGTCTTCAGCCTCATGTTTCACTGACCGGAAATTCTTGCTTTCGATAGTCATCGGGAATGCAGAGTTGTGTGCACTCGACACATCTTTCTCAAATGCCAGGCTAATGTATATAATCAATCTACTAAGTGAATGAAATTACTTTACATTAGGATGCTTGTGCTCTTTCAGTAACATAATGCTGTATAACAAAAATCTGTCTATTTCAAGTTCCTAAAGTTATCAGTAAGTCTATTCGTCGTTGTTTTGTCTCGAGTAAAGCTTGTTGTCTAGGTTTTCATCGTACTCTAGATATTACAATTAAGACTCAATACCAGCAAACGTAGTAAAATTGGTCTTCTGTAATAACCTGGTTTTTCGCTGCGCATGAATATGGTATATAGTTATGTAAAATAACTGATAGTGTCACGAGCTGCTGTTTGGCCTGATAGGTTTGCCACTAAATATCTGCTATCTTCCATTCGAAATTCCCTATTTGTTTAAAAATCCCCTTCAAACGAACTAGCATAATATCGTGAGTCCAAATGGTATGAAAGTTTGGCGTTGATCATTCTTTCTAAACTGTAGTTTATTGCCTAGATTTAATTAGCCAGTAAATGACGATCTCTACTCCACATTTATTAGTAACACGTTGAGAATTCAGCATCATAAATGATGTCAATTACTGAATAAGGGTTCAGTCAATAGACCAAGATGTCATCAGCCCCTACTGCCATAGAGCTTATCTAGTAGTAGTGCGTCCGACGATACTGGTTATAGTACAAACATACTAGTAAATCAGCACTCCAAATCTTCATAAAAAACATCCGCAACATACCCATGTTATCACCAAGGTTACTCAACTAACTTTATTTTTCCGCATCTTGATCCTATAAGAGTACATGGCCAGCATATCCAACGCCAATTAAAGAATCAGCTATTCAACTCTTTAAGCACGTTAACAGTAAACTTGTTTGCAATATGATATTGTGGTTGCTCCTTCAGATTGAATACTTTAGTGAATGCTTCCGCAACCGCAAATATAAGTTCGTAGTTCCCATACTACTTCTGTTTACTACTGCTACTACGAGTTTTTTTTATTCATTTTCCTGTGTATTCATCCCCGGACTCGTAGTATCCTAATGCTGTTGATCTTGTCGCCTTATATCTATAGACTTTCAAGATGAACGAACCAACTGGTGTCGGGCCAACATTTGCTGATGCATGCGATGATGGTAATCTTTAACTATAATCCTATCGTTTTCAGGCGAACTTATCAGCATTTGTTGTCTTTGTGGTAAAACGTTTTCCAGTCAGAGTCTTCTACACAAACATTTTGAATTGATGCATGAAGGTAACTCGTCAAAAGATTTCAAACAGTTTAAATTAGGTACGGAGATAGATACTGAACAGTATGATCTAAGTGGATTTGCCGCTATGGGGAATGAACAAGGTCGTAAAAGTAATGGTGAAGAAGATGCAAGTAAGACTCATCATTGTATTTTGAATAACTGCCATTGCTTTACGTCCTGAGATGTGTCGTTATCCTTGTGTATCATCTAGTTTTTATAATTTGTTACTCAAAATAACCGTCGTCTGTACATTTCCCTATGTAATAACGATTATCAGTTCTGTTTCTCCCAAATATTGAGCTGAAATACGAAAGCATGAAGTTCTCATATTGGATGGAAACTACAATCCTTTACAGTAAGCTGGTACTAGCAGTCAGTCAGCTACAACGTAGGACCAGGCACATATATGCATCGGTCCAAGTTGCCATACCTCGTTAGCACAACAAGATCAACACCGGATTCATAGTAGTTAATTTAGTGGTGGTGTTAGTATATAAATTATAGGTTGTATATAAGGATATAGTATAGGAAGAAAGTTATGAAGCAATTTCAATCTCAAGGTTTAAGGGAAGATAAGGAGTGTATACACCTACGCCATTGTGATCGATTCTGAGCCATGTCACCTAGAGTCTCCAACCATTGGTTACGATAGTCACACAGACCCCAACCAGGTAGTCTGCATCTGCCAACATGGCTCAGGCTAGAAGTTAGTGACTTCAAGCACTGATGCCATGTTTTGGTTTGGCCGCCCCTAACTCTCTTCCAACCATCCCCAATACTAGTCAGCATAGAGCATCGTGGTAATCGGTGTTCAGGCATACGTAACACGGCCCAACCATCTCAGTCGATGAAGATTCATGACCTCGTCAACTGATTTACCATCATTCCCTAATACCCTGCGTCTAACCTCGCTATTACTTACCCGGTTATCCCAGGAGATGCGAGCAATATTTCTAAGACATGTGGTTAAATACTAGTAACTTACGAGTATCTTCTACTCTTAATGGCCATGTTTCACAGCCGTAAAGTAAAACAGAGCGAACTGCTGCACAGTATACTCGTCCCTTAATTGATAGACGGATATCTCGTCTTCGCCATAAGTGACGTAAGTTGGCAAAAGCCAAACGAGCTTTTTGAATCCGCGCTGAGATTTCGTCAGACACCAACCCATTAGGGCTGATCAGACTTCCAAGATAAGTGAAGTTGTCGAGGCGTTCGACTACTTCACTCCCTATCCTTAGTTCAGGTGTTGACGCAGGCCAGTCCTGGAGTAACAATTTACATTTGGATGGGGAGAAACGCATCCCAAACATCCTGGCATTATTACTGAGTTCCAACAGAAGACTCTGCATTTTGCCAGCGTCTTCACCAAACAGGACTATGTGATCTGCGTATTCTAAGTCGATAAATGAACCTCCTGGTAGAAGATCAATTCCTGAAAATTCAGTCGCAGAGAGTGTTATTTCCAGCAACAGGTCTATAATGAAGTTAAACAAAAATGGGGATAGTGGACAGCCTCGACGGACACCACTTGAGATTGTAAAATCATATGACAGTTCGCCATAAGCTCTCACTCGACTGATAGTGTTCAAGTAAAGAGCCTTCACAAGGTTTATGTACTTCAGAGGTACACCTTTCAATGACAGACACTGCCACAGAACCTCTCGGTCTACAGAGTCAAATGCTGCTTTCAAGTCAAGGAAAACTATCATTGTCGGACACCGATAAGCATGTCTGTGCTCTAAAACTTGACGAATGGTGACTATGTGGTCGACACAGCCACGACCAGGTCTGAAGCCAGTCTGATTTTCTCGTGTTCGCAGTTCACGAGTCTTAGTTAAGCGTTCGATAATTATTGAGGCAAGTATTTTAGATGCTATGTTAGTTAGACTAATCCATCTATGGTTATCACAGGATGATTTTGGCCCCTTCTTATATATTGGGAGATTGTGACCAGTCAGATGGGATTACGTTCGTCTCCCAGATTTTAGCCAGAATATTAGTCAACCTAATCGCTAAAATTGGACCACCATATTTAAAGACCTCTGGAGCCAATCCATCTGGACCAGCTGCTCTTCCTCGTTTCAGATTACTTATAGCCTTTTGAACTTCAAGTAGGGTCGGGGGCCTACTTCAATGTTCCATTCAGGTTTTCTGGGAATAGTGGGTAGTTGTGCAGTAGCTGAAGGCCAGCTAAACTGCTCCTTAAAGTGTTCCGCCCATCGTTCTAAACGTTTGGGTTGAGAGCAGATATGGGTTCCGTCTTTTTCGGAGATTGTCTCACTTACACTTGACTTCTTAATTCCGGTTTCTTTTATTAGTCTGAATAGTTGCCTGGTGTTCCCTACAGCCGCTGCCTTTTCCATCTCTTTTGCTTTCGTTGCCCACCACTGCTCACGATCGTTCCTTAGACTTTTAGTTAACCTAGATCTAATTTGTTTACGCTCTTCGTCATGTTCAGAGCCTGATGGGATGAGTTTACGCGAATCCATCAGTGAAATAGACTTAGAGGAAATCCATTGGTTTTTTGGAGCCCTATGGTTTAAATGACTAATAGATGTTACTGCTGTTTCCAAAGCTGTTTGCATGTCTTTCCAAGCAGCATCTGGGTCAGTTTCGTTTACAGAACTGCCTAGATGTGAACTCAGTTGTTTCTGGAATTCGCATTTGGCTTTCTCGTCCTCCAGTTCAATCCTAGTGGGTCTTGGTATGGTCTTTCTGCGTCCAGTGAGGTAGAAACAAATACGTACTCGTACTAAAGCGTGATCAGAATCTAAACAAGTATTCCAATACGAGCGACAATCTTCTATTGAGCCTCTCCAACGATGACTGATGACAATATGGTCTATTTGAGTCCATCGTTGGTTTGGTGCAGGTGGTCGCTACGTTAGACGATGCCTCTCCTTATGATTAAAATTAGTGCTTGCTAAAAATAAACGATTGTCTGAGCATAGTTGCAACAGACGATCACCATTATCGGTTCGTTGAGCCGGAATACTAAAACACCCACCTAAATGTCTTTCTGTTTGATTCAAGCTGTCTACCTGGGCATTAAAGTCACCCGCTACGACTACTATGTCTGAGCGCTTAGCTTTCTGAAGAAGCTCAGAGAGTTTTCTGTAAAAGTCATCTTTCACTTCATCATGACTGCAGTCAGTGGGAGCGTAAGCAGAAACGACGAAAAGGCAACGACGTGTGTCCCTATCCTTCCGAGTTCTTACAGAGCCATGTAGCCGGACAGCACACAGGCGACTGTCAACGGGGATCCATTCTAGTAGTGCCTGTTCTGCCCTTGTACTTAATGCTATGCCTACACCTGCAAGTCCGCGAGGACTAGCCAACGGGTCGCCAGATACACGGAGGATGTATTTCATTGGCTGTCCATTTTGGCGAGGTGAGGTCAAGTGAATGACCATACTGGGATCCTGTATGCGTGTTTCGGAGACCAAGCATACATCACTGGTACGAGATTCAGGGTTTTAGCTAAGGAGGCCTGTTGACCGATTTGGCTTAGGGTACGTACGTTAAAGGCTCCAATGTGTAGTTCGGAGCGAGGTTTTAGTAGATCTGGGACAGCGTTTCGCCCACTAGAATCGTTGGCCATGGTGACATTTGGGGAGGAAACCGGAAGAGGAAGTTTAGTGTTGAAAGTCAAAGTAGAAAAAATAGTAGGAATTGAAGGAGATTGATTATGAATACAGTGGTCTTGAGTGCTGTTAGAATTATGAGGGCAGTTATCACTTCCCGGTTGCCCACACCGTGCAGGGGTTCTTCTAGAGATACCTGAAAAGGAAATTGGGTTAGAAGCGGTCTTAATGACCTGAGAGCGTGACCGCAGTGCCCAAGAGACAACTGCTTGGGGTCGGTCACACACCACCTTTTTGTGGGTAGTTTTTGTGTTGGCTCCGTTCTTCAAAAGACCTTACCGCTGGAGACGGATATCCGTGGGATAAGGCGAGGTGTGCATTTTTAGGGTCGACCTTTTCTGACCCCACCCCTCCCTGTGGGAAGGCAGCATCGCTGTCATGCTGGTTGTCTGAAGGAAACACCTTACTGCTGTCACACCTCTGTACAGTCAGCAGTACGACTTCGCCTTCGGACCTTGGGTTTGCTGCTTTTAGTCTCACCGCTCTTCAAACGATCTGCCTGGCATGGTAGGACCGTGAGGAACGATTGTTCCAGCCAGTATAGCTCGGTTGATTCATCACGATAGGCAAGCCCGACCACCACGTCAAGGTAGCAGCAACGGTCGGGTGGTACTAGCCGGAAGTAATCTGTCCTAAAAGTAGTGTAAGGTGGTTGATATTTGTAACTATCATGATTGCTATGCTAATTTAAGCATTCTCTATCCCTAAATGTATCTACAAAAAAACTTTTATTCACAAGCATATGACTGTGAAACCACCTTATAAAATGTCAACATGAAACAATCTCATATTCTTAAATTCTTTCAGGTTTTATACCACTATGTTAATTAATCTAGTTTGTTTACGTGTATCTAAGGTCAAGGGAGAAAAACATCATTAATAGCCACTCGTTTTAGTTTATCCCTAAAGTATTTTATCCGGTTACAAAGTGATCCTTTCTATTCAGTTTCTCTAGCGAACAAAAATACTAAACCGTTGGTTCCCTTGATACAACTTTAATTGTATTTGTCATATGGAAAATTAGCGATCTTAGATGAATCAGTAACAAGTAGTTTCAACAGTAAAACCCATTTGCGGATTAACTAAAATCCCCAGTAATTTTGAGCTTACATTTTGTTATAATTTATATTCATATTTGTTTATGTACGGCTCAAATTCTGGTTCGGTACATCGCCAAAAATTCAGTTATTCGAGTTAACTAATATTCTTGTAGGGAAATACAGAGCGGTACTTGTAGTAATACTACATAAATGGACAAAAATGGTATTAGGTTAGGGATCCAGCAAAAGTTCACACATTCTTACGAATCTCAACTTTGTATGGTGGACTGGTAACCACTGGTCTACAAACAAAAGACAGTCTGACCGACGTTGTTGGAGCAACAAATCAGATGAACTATCCCTTGAAGTGCTCCACCCAATGTTCGAGATGTCGTCATGGGTTTATAATTTGTGGGTCATCAACTCTGAGAGTTGCCTTGAGTGAAATGGAACAGCTTCTGACAGCAACCAGGTGTAAAGTGATTGGACACACAACCAAAGATTTAATCATGCTAGGTTCAAGGTTAGTTAGTCCCTAATGCCCTGGCACGGTCGAGAGTGGGGAGAGTCCGCTCTCCCTCTCGTAATGTTTTTGCATGGACAAGCGTATATAGCCTCTGCCAGGGAAGTCCTACTCACTGCCTTCTCGTGTTATTACTGTTGTTTACGAAATTGAGAGGACAAAAAGCGAATATCCGGCGCTTCAACCGGGTTGGTGGACACGGAAAGTCCACCTAGGGGAGTTGGAAAACCCTGATTCCAAACCAATGGTGCACATGGGCTCCAGTATCCTGAGGGAACAAATGGCGTATGAACCAATCGTTGGTCACCGGCTACCATGGGACTGCATCTCCTTACGATGCTCCACTGCCTTGCGGATTAGACCTTCAGATCAAGGGCTCCGGGTGTGGCTTCCTGCGAGAACCACATGCTTCAGTTTGGGCACCTGGGCAGTAACACAGCCCTAACACTAATCAAATGAGATTTGTGCGGCGCATATATATCTGGTTCCCCTTTTTTACCAATATTTGTGTGTCTAAATAAATAAAAGTTGGCAACCCACCGAAATCTTTAGGTAAAAACTGGTTAAATTAACAAGACGGCAAGTAAGGCCCCCTGCGGCCTCGCAAAACTTCGTGCGCAGAAATAATTGGCTTCTTGTGAAGGGCTCACACATGATTAGCGGACATGTTTCTGTTTAGATCGTCGATCTATTGACTCATCTCTTCACTCTCCACCAATACTGGAATACCTTCACACTTATTGCAGACTAACAGTCATTATTTTGATATCAAAGCTTCTTAGATTCGTTGGAAAAACTGTACTCTCAGACTCTATTGAAGGAGAGTGTCTTGAAAAGCTTACTGACATCTTGGTGGCTTTATACACGAGCGTCCCAAACAGGGTGAGGCCGTTCAACCACCTTTCTCCGTTTTATTCCAACAATAAAGGTAAGCGTTGTTCCCCTATGACTTTCATACTGATGAAATCAAAGGGACAATTGTAAGGGAAATGCGTTGTGTGGTTGTGGGTCTGTCACAACCTGCAGAGGGACTTTTCAACATATATATAACGCCGCCTTACTGTGCAGTGACACAAACTATCTCAATCACATCTAATCAGTTAGTTCATAGTCTTTATACGTATATAATGTTTCTTGAACTACTGAAAAACTGGCTGGAGAATGTGATTCCACTCAATTTCCTTTTAGTCTGTTAGCAGTCGAAAGTCCCGTTTGTTTGAGTAGTGAGTGATAAAATAACATGACAGGTGAAATCGATCTACGCTTAGTAGAATACAAGTTAGCGTATTTTAATATCGAACATCTTTGACGTTATTGGGATGCCAGCCTTTCTCTATGTAAGACCAAGTTTACAGCTGATTGGTCGGGACAGTCTTCCTGGCATCTTCGACCTGAGGATATTCAGCTACTTTGTGTTCAATCGTCGTTGCCTCCAGGCGATTGCTATAATCAGGTGGCAACATATTACTTATTCCGAGGCTTGGCGATGAGTATTTGGCCACAGTGATGGACAAAAAATTGATGTCACCATCTCGAAAAAACTGATAGTGCATTATTAGCCAACACTGAGGTGGTCGCTGGATGACATGGTCCCGTATTATGAAAGATTACTGCTTAAGATAGACGTCTGTCGATCAACCAAAACTCCTAGGTTGCAGTCCTAGGGATGGTGCAGTTCGGTGACGTTGGACGTTGTCGGATATAACCCATAATAGAAACTGATAGTAATCCCACTATAGTGAGTGAACCATCCTGACTAAAAGCTTTACTGGTTGTATTTTTGACCGAACTACATCTATCATATGCTATTTTTGTTTCATTTATTTACTGTAAAATACTATTGCTTTTCATTTCATAATATCATGACATCACTGTGACCCGAACGTGCTTGTATTGTTGCCTAATGTGACCAAAAGACTGACGTCTTTGTCAAACAAAATTATCACTTGCACATCCCAAATCAACACGTAATCTTAGTAGATCAATGTCTGAAAAGTTGTTTATATGGATGTCTAAATAAACTAGGTAAATATGCAGAAAGTGGATAGCCCTGACAAACAGTTAGGTTTGGTAATTCTAGCGACAGTATTTATTAAATGATTCCCAACAATGTTAACTAACTGAAAAATCCTCCCTAGAAATAAAGTATACTTCTAGTTATTTTTCAAAGTTACTGTACTTTGGCATATCGTGTTACTCTTAACCTTGTCTTTTTTCTTTCTATTCATTAAAACAGATTTCCGAGTTCTGAATTGTGCGTTTTGCAACAAAGTATTCACTAAACACTGTAATTTAAACACACATATCAAAGCAGTTCATAAAGGTCAGACTCTGTTAATGTAAACAGTTTTTGTATATACAGCGTTTCTTTGTTTTTCTTTTCAATACTTACCTGTTAGGGTTTTTGGTCATATTTTAGGTGTAAAACCGTTTGAATGCACTTATTGTTATAAAGGATTCACTCGAAATTCTGATCTTCATAAGCACATCGACGCTGTTCACAAAGGTTGGTTAGTGTTTTCTACTTTAGGTAAACTTTCTATATAGGTCTCAAGCCTTTCGGATGTGAAGTATGCCAGCGAAACTTCTCTCAGAAATCCAGCCTAAAACGACACATAGAAGCAATTCACGAAGGTAAGTTGATTCTCAAGGCAGATGAAGCAGCACTAGGTTGCAGCTAAAATCCGTTATAGTTTTTGGCATGTCAATATTTTCTGAATGATGGATATGTCCAGGTTCTAGTTCCGGAAAAGTTCCGATTAGATGCATTCTGTCATATTGTCTCGCATCGTAACAATCAAGATGGAACAATCGACAGATTACTAGGCGTTTCTTTGGAAAGACGTTTCAGTTTTCTGAAAACCCTCTTTCTTCCCTTTTTAGGTATGAACTTTGACGACATCACTTCTCCAGAAAGAAAAGGCTTTAAATGATGTTGAGGTCTGAGTTTATTTGTAGTTAAATTCAAAGATATATCGTCAGAAATCCCCCGGATTTTATCTTAATTAGATTTTAAATTTAAAGAATACACCAAATTATTTCTTTCCACCTCTGTTCTTGATCAACATTTACCAAAAAATATGCTGTCTTAATTCTAGGGATATTTGAAATTAAAGTTAAGCAATTACAAATTTTGAATAAGATTTCTGCTAAATAAATAAATCCATCAATATTAAATCGCTTCAGTGTATTCTTCCCAGAATGTTCGTTGTTTATGGCATCCCTAAGCTTTAGTATTCTGGCAATCGGAAAGCATGCAGAGTACAGAGGTAGTCAACTTAATTAATAGTCGAGTTCATACTTCTACTAGGACTTGAACATCAACACCAGTATGAAGTAGAAGATATCTTCGAGTAATTCTGCTAGTATCGAAGTGCACGAACTACTAGGTCAAGGTTAGTTAAAATCGCTTCGGTTTATGAGAATCAACTGTAAGTAGGATCCCACAATAGCATTATCAAATTCGTGTGATGTACCCTATTTGAATAGATAACTACATAGAATTTTTACACTTATGTAGACGCGAGAATTTTGTGTACGAAGTTTTTAATCAGTTTTACTGCTTTCTTTTATAGATCCTCGGCATCGCTGAAGAGAAACCAGATTGTATAATCCTCTCCAATTTTCATATGATTTCATGTTCAAAAATATACATTTATTATTCTTTCAAATTGTGCTATTTCCTACCATCTGATCCTCCGATCTTTGAGAAATAGGGAGCTGGACAAGAGAATGATTCACGGTAGTAAAAGACAGATGCTATAACCAAATGTGTTATAGCTGTATCAGTCAGTCAGCTACAACGTGTGACCAGAAACAAATATGCATCCGTCCAAATTGCCGTACCTCATTAGCACAACAAGATGAACACCGAATTCATAGAAGTAGTTAACTTAATGGTGGTAATATATAAAGGAAAGATTGTATATAAGGATATAGTACAGGAAGAAAGACAGATATGAAGCAATTTTAATCTCAAGGTTTTAAGGGAAAACAGAGATTGTATACACTTACGCCATTGTGATCGATTCTCAGCCACGTAACCCAGAGTCTCCAACTATTGGTTACGATAGCCACACGGACTCCAACCGAGTAGTTTGCACCTACCAACATGGCTCAAAATAGAGGTTAGTGACTTCAATCACTGATACCACGTTTCGATTTGGCCGCTCCTAACTCTTCAACCATCCCCAATACTAGTCATCATAGCGCGTCGTGGTAATCGGTGTTCAGACATAAGTAACACATGGCCCAACCACCTCAGTTGATAAAGATTCACCATTACTATCATTCCATAATACCGGATGTCCAACCTCACTATTACTTACCCGGTGATCTCAGCAGATGCGAGCAATATTTCCAAGACATCTGTGATCAAATACTAGCAACTTGCGAGTATCTTATACTCTTAATGGTTACGTTCCTCAGCATTAAAGTAAAATAGAACGAACTGCTGCGCAGTATACTCGTTTTTTAATTGATAGACAGATATCTAGCCTGCTCCATAAGTGACGTAAGTTGGAAAAAGCCAAACGAGCTTTCTGAATCCATTATAGGACACCAACCCATTAGGACTGATCAAACTTTCAAGATAAGTGAAGTTGTCGGCGCGTTCGACTTCTTCCCTCCTTATCCTTGGTTCAGATGTTGACGCAGGCCAGTCCTGAAGCAACAACTTTCATTTAGAGGGAGATAAACGCATCATGAAAATCCCAGCATTGTTGTTCGGTGCTACTAAAAGACTGCATTTTACCAGCATCTTCACCAAACAGAACTATGTTATCTGCTTATTCTAAGACAACAAGTGGACCTCCTGGTAAGAGACCAATTTTTGGAAATTCAGTCAACGAGAAAGTTATTTCCAGCAGTAGGTCTATGATGAAATTAAACAGGCATGGCTGTGTTCCAAATTTTAACGAATTATTAATATTTAGTCGATACATCCACCATCTGGTGTGAAGCTAGTCTGATTTTCTCGTGTTTACATTTCACAAGTCTTTGTCAGGCGCCCGACAATTATTGAGGCTAGTATTTTAGACGCTATGTTAGTCAAACTAATCCCTCTATGATTATCGCAGGATGATTTTGGTCCTTTCTTATATATCGGGACAACCAGTGATTGCGACCAGTCAGATGGAATTAGGTCCAGTTCCCAGATTTAAGCTAAAATCCGATCACCATATTTAGGGATCTCGGGAGCCAACCCATCTGCTTTTCCCTGTTTCGGATGGGCTTTAGCCTTCAGACCTTCAACTAGAGTCAGAAGACTTATTTCAGTGTTCCATTCAGACTATGATAATGAAGAGTAGCTGAAGGCCAGCTAAATTGTTCCGCCCATCGTTCCAAGCGTCTGGACTGAGAGCAGATAAGAGTCTCTTCTTTTTCCGAGATTGTCTCGCTCACACTTGACTTCTTAATTCTGGTTTATTTTATTAGTCTGAAGAACTGTCTAGTGTTGCCTACAGCCACTGCATTTCCTTTGCTTTCGGGGTACACCGCTGCACACGATCGTTCCGTATACTTTTGGTTAACCTAGAACTGATATGCTTTCGCTCTTCATCGTGTTCGGAGCCTGTTGGGATGACTTGACGAGTATCCATCAGTGTAGTAGACTTAGTAGAAAACCATTGGTTTTTCGTAACCATTTGACTTAAATCATTATGATAAGTCACTGTAGTTTCCACAGCTGTTAGTATATATTTCCAAGAAACATGTGAGTCAGCCTCGTTTACAGAACTGTCTAGATGTGAACTCAATGGTTTCTGGAACTTACTTTTGAATTTCTCGTCCCTCAGTTCAATCCTAGTGGGTCTTGGTATGGTCTTTCTGCGTCCAGTGAGGTAGAAACAAATACGTACTCGTACTAAAGCATGATCAGAGTATAAACATGTATTCCAGGACGAGCGACGGTCTTCTATTGAGCCTCTCCAACGATGACTGATGACAATATGGTCTATTTGAGTCCATCGTTGGTTTGGTGCAGGTGGTCGCTACGTTAGACGATGCCTCTCCTTATGCTTAAAATTAGTGCTTGCTAAAAATAAACGATTGTCTGAGCATAGTTGCAACAGACGATCACCATTATCGGTTCGTTGAGCTGGAATACTAAAACACCCACCTAAATGTCTTTCTGTTTGATTCAAGCTGCCTAATTGAGCATTAAAGTCACCCCCACGAGTACTATGTCTGAGCGCTTAGCTTTCTGAAGAAGCTCAGAGAGTTTTCTGTAGAAGTCATCTTCCACTTTATCATGGCTGCAGTCAGTGGGAGCGTAGGTAGAAACGGCGTGTGTCCCTATCCTTCCGAGTTTTTACGGAGCCGTTTAGCGGAAGAGCAAATAGGCGATAGTTAACGAGGGCGCATTCTAATAGTGCTTGTTTTGTTCTCGTATCGAGTACTATGCCTACACCTGCAAGTCCACGAGAACTAGCCATCGGGTTGCAAGATACATGGAGGGTGTATCTCGTCGCCTCTCCGTTTTGGCGAGGTGAGGTCAAGTGAATGACCACACTAGGATCCTGTATCCGTGTTTCGGAGACACAGCACACATCAATCGTACGAGAATCTAGGGTCTTAGCCAAGGAGGGTTGCTGGCCGATTTGACATAGTGTGCGGACGTTGAAGGCTCCAATTAATAGTTTAGAGCGAGGTCCTAGTAGACATGGGACAGTGTTTTGCGCATTAGAATCGATGGCCATGGTGACACTTGGGGAGGAAGCCAAAAGAGGAAGTTTAGTGTTGAAAGTCGAGGTGGAAGAAGTAATAGGAATTGAAAGAGATTGACCATAAATACAGTGATCTTGAATGTTGTTATAGGTATGAGGGCGGTTATCATTTCCCGGTTGCCCACACCGTGGAAGGGTTCTTCTGGAGGTACCTGAAAAGGAAATTGGATTATAAATGGTCTCAGTGACCTGAGAGCGTGACCGCAGTGCTCAAGGGATAACTGCTTGATGTTGGTCACACAGGACCTTTTTGTGAGTAATTTTCGTGTAAGCTCCGTACTTGTTGATTGAACGCTATATTCAGATCCTAAGCTAGTTTCGTAACCCCCGAGCTAGAACTAAACAGCGACTTGAAGACAAGAGAAAAGGCACAAAATATGTGGGAAGCACTTTACTCCAGGATTCATTTTTGTACAGAAAATATAGGTTTTTTATAGTATTTTAAAAGTCCTTGCGTTTTACTGAAAATTCCAGAATAATGCTAAACATAGTAGCAGTGAATTAATCAGCCAATCAGAATCTCCACATGTGACTTTTCATTTTCGCTATGTTACTAACATAACTTCTAATCAAACGCTGATTGAATGAAATGCTCCTTAATGTTTCATGAGCTTATCAAGTCGATTGCGAGAAATTTTCAGGATCATACCAACAGTTGGGACCTTACCGACGGAGACGGACATCCATGGGATAAGGCGAGATGTGCATTTTTAGGGTCGACCTTTTCTACCCCCACCCCTCCTTGTGGGGTAGGCAGCATCTCTGTTGTGCTGGCTGTCTGAATGAAACACCTTACAGCCGTCACACCTTTGTACAGTCAGCAGTACGACTTCGCCTTCGGACCTTAGGTTTGCTGCTTTTAGTCTGACCGCGCTTCAACCGACCTGCCTGGCATGGTAGGACCCTGAGGAACGATTGTGCCAGCCAATATAACTCGATTGGTTCATCGCGATAGGAAAGCCCGACCACCACGTCAAGGTAGCATCAAGGGTCGGGGATTATAGCTGTATAAGAATTACTGGAGAAAGACATACTTAGGGAAATTTATTTACAAGAAACATTTTATGTACATGAATTTTGACGATCTGCAGACATGCAATTTCATCTAAGTTGTAATGCGTCACACTTGGGTTTTCCTGATACACAAGTAGAAACCTGAAATGATAAAAATGGACAATAAATTATGTCGCCTATTGATTGATAGTCCTACAGAACCACATGTATTAGAAAATATGGGAATAACTGGAAGCCCACACGAAATACCTGATATCATCAGATGATCCCTTACAGCTAAAACAATTCGTCTATGGGCATAGTTTCTACTGAAAACATGTTATCAGTGCGGATATTTCAACGGTATCATTCACTGTCTGAAACGTAAAAATAGTAAGCTGTGGGCTTTTGTATCATTCAATTGATCTGCGTTTGTAGTATGCTCATATTTCATTTTGAAATGATAATGACTTGATGTTAAAGTTGGTCAAGCTGATACACAGCTCAGATAGTTTTCATCTAATTCATAACATCTGCGCCAAAAACTATCGTGTACTGTTTACGTCTATTTAACATCACTTCATATTCCCATCCACTATCTGAGCTACGTCTGCAGTCATTGCGTTTATAAGCTATATTAAGGTTATGGGAAACGATTAATTCTATATCCATTAAATTGGGATGAAGGTAGCATAACTTACGGTGTGTCTTAGCTGGTTAACTGATGAAGTATCCGTAGAGGGGAAGGTCGAGCGTAGCTCCGTATAGTTATTCTGAAAAAAATAAAATCTTACAGAACATTATATGAAGGTGTTACTAGATAAAGCTTATCTCAAAAACATCTTGATGAGACCTAGAACTAAATCACTGGTGAGAGCTCAAGGATAATAACAACCTTAGGAATTTAATGCACACTTACCAAATGACTTGTTATACTGCTTAGTTCATTGTCGGGTAAGGTCATGTGTGCAACTTTCTTCAACAAATGAGGAAATAATCGCAGTATAGCTTGATATTCTCGGTTCAGCTTGTCAAAGGCCTAAAATAAAACGAAGTATACCACAGTCTAAATTTCCTGATTGATAAGAGTCGAGTGTTGTAATTTTGCATCGCATATATATGTAGCTTCTTTTAGTAGTGTTTGGTCACACAAAACGCTAGTAAACAAACAGGTGGACGTTTTGTGTGCCTTAGTTGTTTAGTACGACGGAAAAAACTCACGTACGCAAGTTCACGGAATAAACACATCTACTCAAAAATACCTAAAACGACTAACGGGTTATATGTAGTGACGCTTGTCACCATTAAGAACGTTCGCTAAACAACCCGACTTTTTCAGCAGTTTCCATTCCTCCTGTGGGAATCATAAGATAAAGATGCCGAATTCAATGAAAACCACTAGGTTTATACACTATTTGTAACAACGAGCGCAGCAATCAGTTACAATTTAAACACAATTATTTCCCATTCAATAGGGAAAATATCTGTCCCGTTAAACAGTATTTTAAATAGACTACGAATTGGAGTCAGGATGTACATTGAAAAACAATGATTTGTAGCAGAAGGGAAGTACGATTGTTGGAGTTACCTAATTATTTCCCTTGGTGACCGATATATATGTACAAGATATATATGGTTTGGACAGACATCTCTGTGGAGAACGAAGTAATTGCTCTAACAACGCTAATGAAAACGAATTCTTTTTCTGAAACTAACCATTTACTATATGTATTAACAAGAAAATGCACTTGACAGTATATAGACATCATTTAGGAAACTCTGTACACTAAAAACAGAGAACTTATAACAGAGCATTAAATTACAATGGACAAGTATACTTATGCAAATATTACTCACCTGTCTGAAGTTATCAAGTAAACGAGTTTGCGCTAGTAATTTTTCTTGCAATATGACGACCTTCTGATTGAGTTCCTAAATTTACAAAGGACTGGGTTAATAATAAAAAATGTAACATACACTCTCGAAATTTAGTAGGATGAGGTTACATTCTAAGATTATCTTCAATTGCAGAGCGTAGACGCCTTATGTTGAAGAAATTGTGAAACACTGAACCTTAGTAGTTCACTACAATCATGTTTCTACTGAGATATCGTTAAAAACAAGCAAACGATAAATTTCAGATGTATTTAGTCAGTAATGTGATAAGCTAGACAATCAATGCTGTCCACAAAAACATGCCTATCCGTATCGCAATCAAAGAAAAAATATTCCGACGTGTAAAATGATGGAGAAAATACATCACAATAAATGATATAATGCAAAACTGAGAAAGGCTAATTAACAGTGCAGATAGTTTCGGACCATTCCATAAAAGGGGAATCAAGCTATAACAGAGAACTTTTAAATGTCACAACTTACCTCAACTTCCAATTTTCCCGATTTCTTAGTCAAAAATTCGAATTTTGAAAACGTTTTATTTAACTTATCAGATAGAGAACTGTGTTTCCTAGAGATATATATCAACTACCTCGATATTCTAAGCGACTTTTTTTTACATATCCTATGCTTATCTTCAACATAATTAACCTTATTGTTTCAGCAAAGCCAAGCTATGTTTGGAAAACATCTACGATGGAACATTAGCAACCTATGCAAATTTCTAACTATGAAAGTTAGATCTCACAGACACAAAATGACAGACTAATATAGCGATATACAGTTGCCCACTAATTGATGAGGACGTCTTAAAAAACAAATATCAGTTGACAGAAGTCAAACATTCCTCTTTACTTATTCTGCCAAAACTTAACTTACAACTATTTCACTTCCTATAAATAGACTACAGACTGATGCAAACCACTCCTGTGTCGTGGTATGAAGAGTTCCACAAGACTGGTTTCTGTTGGTTCTTCACGACTTGTTGGTAAGGGTCCAGGCAACCGGGAAGTGATAACCGCCCTCATACCTATAACAGCACTTCATCTCTTTCCATTCTAATTGTTATTGTGTGGCGCATATGTATCTGGTGCATCCTTGTACCAATATTTACGTGTTTAAATAAATAAATACAATCAACCAAGCATTTCGGAGATAAATACCTTAACATCTCATAAGATATAAACACGAATAACCGTATATTTAAAAGCGCAGTGTACATTATACTAACATTAAAATGAGACAAAATTCACTTTTACACAGGAAAGTATTTTAGATACTTGACTGACAAACATACAGATGCTAAAATAATCAAAATGATACAGCAAACAGATTTTTCAATAACCTACCGAATCTTGTACAGATTGTAATGTACAATTTAAATTGGCAATCTGGTCAACAAGCTGGCAATGGGTCATAGGACTACACAGCAAAGAATGACCAACAGAAGTAGAAACTTCAGAAGAACTAGGTAAGGCAGTTTGTCCGTATGGTTTTTCTATCCCTTCGAAGTCCACTTTGTCCTCATGAATGCGTAATGGAGTACTGATGAAAAGTCATAAATTTGAACAAAATTTAGATTAGACCAAACCTAGATATTTTTGCCGGATATTTTATGATGCTGAATCAATCACTTAACTACATCTTTACTGCAGTTACGCTGATTAGAAACAAGTCTTCAGTCGTATTTTGGCAGTACAACTGTGTTTTATACTGATATTATTATGATTCAATGAAACACACAATATTTTGAGAAGAAATAGAATTATTTGCTCTTTTATGTTATTCAATATAATTTGTTTCTTATTATCGTGTCAATTCATCTGATCTCTTGATTTATTACGCTACCTATCTAAAACAAACAGGATTTTCAAACACATATTAAAGATCGAATTTGTAACAAAGTCCTGTGAGCTATTTGCACTTTTTACCTGTGAAACATGAGAGCTAAATGTGAATGATGTGGAAGAACTACAGATAACTGGATACCAATAATCGGGAAAGTTGGTTATGTACGCAGAACCACGGAATGAAAAAAATGGTGTTGAATGTCAATGTTCCAACCATGGAAACAAATCAGTCGAGCTTGAAAGACTTCATTGATTTCAAATTTTAGCATGAACTAGTGACTGGATTCGTGATAGAGTACGAATTCGGTATTCGCAGTTTTCGTACATTAACATCATCTTGTTCTACTAATTGTAAATACATTCTAAAATACCTTATTCGTCTTCTTATCGACTTTTTTGTTATTTCAGGAAACCGTGAAGACGCAGATCATTTTTAAAACATTACTCTGATTTGATCAACTGATTATATTAAAGTAATATTAACATTTGCACTTTACATACATATTTTTTTCTAAGAATCCATTATATGAAAAATGTGCTAAGTTCAAGAAATTAATTTTCTATATCTAAAGCTAATAATATGAATTAATTAATGAAGAAATTATAAGCAAAGAATCTGCAAACATTTGTAAATCTGATGTCATTTTCTTTTGTGGAAATGACTACTGTACATCCATGACAAAATAATAAAGCTTAGCGACAGCACAGGGACTGTTATTTCATTCTATAATTCATGTCAATCAGTCAGCTAGTCACAATGTAGAACTTCGTACGTACGTGCATCAGTTCGAATTGCCATACCACATTAGCACAGAGATGCAGTTGTTGATTCAAATCCCACAGTGGTAGAAGTAGTAAGAGTATAAGCAGTAATCGGAAAGATTAAGGTTTGAAGATGTTATTCAAGGAGTATAATCCAGTTCAGTAACTTTGGAAAGAGGAAAAAGATAGAGACATGAGGAATACAGAAGATTAGAATTTGGTAGAACACAAAGAGTGGATGCACCTTCGCCACTGCAAATGATTTTGAGCTGTCATTTAAGGTCTCTAACCATCGGTTACTATCATCTCGCGGATCCCAACCAGGTGGTCTATACCTGCCAACATGGCTCAGTCCACTTGTCAGTGACTCCATGGATTTGTGCCACGTTTCGGTCTGGCCGCCCCTACCTTTCTTCCAACCTACTCCTACACCGTGAAATATCGCACGTCGGGGCAGTCGGTGGTTGGGCATACGTATTACATGTCCCAGACATCTCAACTGATAAGGTTTCACTACTTTACCAATCGATTTCCCATCCTTACCTAGTACCCGTTTCCTAACAACTGCATTACTTACCCGGTGGTCCCGGGATATACGAGCAATGCTTCGAAGACACCTATGATCGAATACTAGTAATCTACAAATACCTTCTATTCTTATCGGCCATGTTTCACTGCCATAAAGTAAAACAGAGCGAACTGCTGCACAGTAAACCCATCCTTTTGTTGCTAGACGGATAACTCGCCTACGCCATAAATGATGCAAGTTGGCAAAAGCTAGACGAGCCTTCTGTATCCGTGCTGAGATTTCGTCACACACCACACCACAAGGGCTGATGAGACTCCCAAGATAAGTGAAACAGTCAACACGTTCAACTACTTCACTCCTTATCATTAGTTCAGGTGTCGATGCAACCCAATCCTGAAGTAACATTTTGCACTTCGAGGGAGAGAATCGCATCCCGAACATGCCTGCATTGTTGCTTATAGTGGTCAGAAGACTGCATTTTGTCAGCGTCTTCACCAAATAAAACTATGTCGTCGGCGTATTCTAAGTCAACAAGTGAATCTCCCGGTAAAAGTTCAACTCCTGGAGATTGAGATGAAAGTGATATCTCTAAAAGCATGTCAACGACAAAGTTAAACAAGAATGGGGAGAGTGGACAGCCCTGACAAACACCACTTGAGGTAATCAATTCTGATGACAGTTCGCCATAGGCTCTAACTCGACCAGTTGTGTTCGAGTAGAGAGCCTTTATGAGATTAATGTACTTCTTTGGTACTCCTTTCACTGACAAACACTGCCATAGAACCTCACGATCAACGGAGTCAAATGCCGCCTTAAAGTCAAGAAATACTACTATTGTGGGACGTCTGAATGTATGTCTATGTTCTAGGACCTGACGTAGAGTGAATATCTGGTCTCTGCAACGACGACCAGGTTGAAACCCAGCCTGGTTTTCTCTAGTCTGCTCTTCACGAGTTTAGTTAGGCGTTCGAGTATTATTGAAGCTAATATTTTAGACACTACATTAGTCAAACTGATTCCTCTGTGATTGTCACAAGAGAACTTCTGTCCTCATACAGTAGAATTGTCTTGACATTTGTTTTGAGTTCTAGATGTTCTTCAGTTGTAAATATGCTGCTCTTGCTTTGCCGATCCACACCTTCACATCTGCATCTGATCCACCGTTTTCATCGATGATGTTCCCCAGATATGTAAAGGTTTTCACAATCTCTAAGGCTTCTCCGTCAAGTGTGATTCGATTGGTGCATGCTGCGTTGTATTAGAGAGTCTTGCTTTTCCCTTTGTTTATATTGAGACCTACTTCTACACTGGTCGTATTCTGCTGCACTTGTTTTCGCGTGTGTGATAGAAGAGCCAGATCATCTGCGAAGTCTAGATCATCCAGCTGCATCCTAGCTGTCCACTGTATCCCGCGCTTACCTCCAGATGTTGACGTCTTCATGATCCAGTCGATCACCAGAAGAAAGAGAAAGGGTGAGAGTAAGCAACCTTACCTAACACCGGTTTTTATCTCGAATGAGTCGGTGAGTTGTCCTTCATGGATGATTCGGCAGTTTAGTTCATCATCATAGGAATCCCGTATGACACTGACTATCTTCTCAGGCACGCCAGTGTCGAAGAGGTCTCCATAGCGTTGTCCTGTCCACGCTATCAAATGGTTTCTTGTAGTCAATGAAGTTGATGTAGAGTGAAGAATTCCATTCAATTGATTGTTCCACAATGATCCGTAGAATTGCTTTTTGGTTTATACATGATCGATCCTCACGGAATCTAGCCTGTTGGTCTCGAAGTTGGGAGTCTACAGAGTCCTTTATTCTGTTTAACAATAACCTGTTGAAGACTTTTCCTGGTATAAGGACAAGAGTGATGCCCCTGTAGTTATCACACTTGATGAGATCGCCTTTCTTTTGTATTTTGGTCAGAAATCCTTCTTTCCAGTCTGTTGGTACTTGTTCTTCATCCCAAATCTTACTGAAGAGAATGTGAAGTATCTTTGCAGTTACTGCTACATCTGATTTCAGTGCCTCTGCCGGAATATTATCTGGTCCTGCTGCCTTGTCTGATGGCCATGCTAATCTCTTTTATTGTTGGTGAGCCAACATCGATTGGGAGGTCCGTGGGTGCTACTCCGAAGTTGGGTGGGTTCAGTGAAGCCGGTCGATTCAAAAGTTCTTTGAATTGTTCTACCTACCTGTTCCGTTGTTCATCAATGTTGGTGATTACTTTGCCTTCCTTGCTTTTCACTGGTCGATCTGGTTTACGGTAATTTCCAGAGAGCTTCTTTGTTCTATCATACAGTTGTCTCATGCTTCCTTCTCTTGCAGCCTATTCTGCAGTGATTGCTAAATCTTCCACATAACTGGTAATAAACAAAATTAACTGAAAGCTACTGACTAGACAATAATTCCATACTTCAAATAACAACAGAAGGAGTTTGATTATTGTGTCGAACAATAAATAAAGTCTGGGGTGTACGCTAAGCACTTTCAAAGCTAGACAAATAACTATCACAAAAACATGTCATTCATCCATAAATATAACATGTGTTTCCTTAATGCACTATTTACATCGTAAGTAACAGAAATGAGTAAATATGAGGAACCTTACATAGTATTTGTACAATTAAGAGTGGAGAGTACTCTTCGGAGTGTTCGTGAGCCTGTATCCGGTTCATTTTGATAAACTTCTGACGTTTGTGTTGATTTACATAGTTCAGATGTAACAGCTTGGATAGAGTGGTCCCCAGTGAACGAGCGACGATCAGTTAACTTCCTTCGTAAAAGATTAGATAACCAACTTCATGAATAACAACAAACGATAAGATGGCGAAATAGGTCACTGTACTTGAATAACAGATTTTAGATTGAAATCAAAATGTATATCAAACTACAGGTATATTGATGACTCTTAAAGACAAATATACAAAATCCAGGACATTCTGAATATTTTTATTTTTAGTAAAACAAGTAACATAAAAATTCCACTAAATTACCGAAATTATGTATAACGAAAGTAATTGATTAACAGAGTATTAAGGTATTAAGCTTTCTTAGAAAATCCCAACAATAATAAACTCCTAAGAATTATCTTTGTTTAATAACTCACCAAGGTATATTGTTGTGATTGATTTAACCATTGTAACACTGAAAGTCTATACGAGTTTATTGATTGAACTCATATCGCTAAGTGTAATCCTGTTAAACGAAGTTATTGTTGTGAGGTCTAAACATAACAACCGTAATTTATTTTGAAAACCACAACTATAATGAAATAAGAACAATAGATTGTAACGTACAACACTTGGTAGTTAAGATGTTGTTATTTTCGAAGCGCTAATAAGATAACTGTACATCACAAATTGATATGAGGTGGAGGACTACTGAAAACCATAGTCAGTTAGTTTAGTGCTCCATAGTTTTAGACAATTCTCCCAGTTAACGAAAATTACATTCATAATAAACAAGAAAGTTACCGAAAAACATGTATAATTTAGCAACTGTAGATCCTATAATGATGAGTCATAAAATAGAATTGGTGATCATTTGTTGACTGGGGAATTTTTTTTTAAATCTGTAATGTTTAACGCACTATTATAAGATGGTGAGTTATATTGGTACCACTACTTCCACGATGTTGTTACTTGATGTTACCTTTAGAGAAAGAACATGCTTAAAGAATAAATATTTTTATAAAACACGATCAAAACATTCCAAATTTATGATTTTCATACTTTAACTGACGAGTAGGCATAAGTTGAAGTTTTTGATTGAGCTGTCTGAAAGTATTTTTTTATTGTTTTTGACTTGAAATTGGATGTAACTGTTTGAAAATTGTTTTTTTATGGGATTTGATAGCCCATAATATATATCAGCTATAAAATGAACTGAGAAATGTGTGGGGAGTATAAGAGACAATTAATAAAAAATACCTTCGCAACTGTAGGACACCTTCTTCACGAATGGAGATTAATTCTCTAAGCTTAGCGGCCTCATAAGCTTGACATGTTCCGGATTCAAACATAATTGAAGATGCTTTCTGTTGTAAGATACGTAATTCGGACATTAATTCTATCAAAAATAATTCGAAAAAAACTAAATACACGCACATACATCTTGAATGAAATTATTGCCAAATAAAGTTGCGAATTTACATTAACTCACTGAATCACTTATAAAGATAAAAAGTGGTTAACAATTAAGCGAACTGTAGGTAATGATGTGCAAAAGTGATTGTTATGGCTCGTCACTTAACAAACCAGGTAGTTGCAACTTCCTTTTGACGTGCGTTAATATCTTGATAACAATGATGAGATGCAGCTCAACTGCAATAATACGTAGTGGTTCTGCCATAAGTACTTGTTTTTTGACCAGTGGACTGCATGTTCACATACATTTTTATCACCCAGGGTTCGAGAAGCCTAAGATCATCATAAGAACTCATATAAGGTGTAGAGAGAAATTGACTTAAATAGATTGAATTTATTACGTAATAGCGAATTACTCTTATGATGCCTGTTACTCGTACATCAACAATTTAAAAAAATACGGTGTGAATGCGATGTCTATCTCCTAACTGCAACGTTTTGAAGTACAGTTGATAAAGCGTTTAACCGGAATTATTTTAAATATATATAAGGATAACTAAGTTGTAAATTCAGAAAAAAAGAGTTTAAATAAACCTTGTTTGTGACATACGGATATATAAAACATTATAATAAATCTGGCATGATTCCCTTTTTTTAAAAATGGACACAGTATCATGCAGTTGTCTCTGCTTTTTACTCTAATAGATCATTGGTTTGTCTTAAAAAAGTATTCTCATAAATGGTTCAGACAAGCAGATGGTCCATGGTAGTTCTGTTACTTTGGTTGATATTTAGATAGAACCAAAAAACTTTCTACACATAGGTCATTATTACCGAACCTCCTATTTGATATTTTTTAAATTATATATATATATATATATATATATATATATATATATATATATATATATATATATATATATATATATATATATATATATATATATATATATATTAAAAACAAAATTACACATATAAATTACCACGAATCAATCGACTTTTCGGATCTTCATTGACCATCGCTGAATTAATAATAGATGAAGCCTTTTTGGCATAACTAAAAATATACAGTATAATGAAAATAAGGACCTTCTAAGTTAGTTAAAACTACAGAAAGAACACGAAAATTACAATTCGTTTACAAAGGCTTCAGTTCAAAGCAAATGGGTTAGAAAATCGAAACAGAATTATCAGCAATAAACGAAAGTCGCAGTAACCAACAAAAATCAGTTGGTTGGTGGTCTACACACAAAATATCCTTTCATTATTCAACCATATATGAGATCAAATATAAATTGAATTCAAGCAACAACAGTTCCTACCGTAAAGTGCTTAATGTTTCGTCGTAATGAGTTTGACAGGGACTGACAGTTGCCAGCATTACTGTGACTGCATTGCCTCCTAAACTATCCTTCAATAACCTAAAATGAAAAAAAAACAGAACGAAATAGAAGCATTATAAATCAATAACGGGAAAGTCGAGGTAATGATTTTCAAATGTTCAGTTCACCTGCACAAATGTATGGAAGTACACGCTTGACTCTACAGGTTAATTAGTGAATGTCACAAAAATCCAACTTTAGCAATTTCTAATCGCGTTTCTGCCAATTGTATAGAGCCATACAACTACAATGATTTTATTAAAATCATGAACTCAGCTAAGTCAGATCACCATTGAAAACCTGTAGGCACTTGATGGCCTTTTAATCCCTGCATGGGACTCTTTATAAGTACATACTGACAACGAAAAATCCATGTAGTGCTTTTGAGTTTTTAATGGGGACCTAACGTAGAACGATTCATGATTTCAATGAAATTCAACAATCTCTACAACCCTATATCGATAAAGATTTTAGTCAGAAATTTCGAACAGTTAGATGTAAGTTTTGAAATACAGCTATAACTTACTTTTGAAAAGATTAGGGAATGATGGTAAATCAGTTGATTAGGTTGTGAATCTCTATTGACTGGGATGTTTGGGCCACGTAATACGCATGTCCAACCCCCGATTACAACGGCGCGCAATACTGACTAGTGTTGGGGATGGATGAAAGAAAGTTAAGGGTGGCCAAACCAAAACGTGAAATCAGTCCATAAAGTCACTAACTTCTGGTCTAAGCCATGTTGGTAGATGCAGACTATTTGGTTGGGGTCCGCACAACTATTGTGACCAATGGTTGGAGACTCTGGGTGACATAGCTCAGAATTGATAACAATGGTGTAGGTGGGTACACTCTTTATCTTTCCTTAAAATGTGTGATGAAAACTATTTTATACCTTTCTTTCTACGAAATAATTTTTTCCCCGTACTATATTCTTATTTGCAATCTTTTTTCATGTATTACTGTCATTAAAGTGATTGCTTCTATGAATTAGGTGCTCATCTTGTTGTACTAATGAAGTGTGGCAACTTGGACTGATGCATATATGTACCTGGTCCTACGTTGAAGATGACTGACTTTGAGAATACAAAAATGTGATTGGCATCTTATAGATTTAAATGGATTTTTGTAACAATCAGATGGACTGACATTGCAGCAAATGATAAGAGTAAACAATCACAAAGATTTTAAAAGACTCAATACATGATATCAATCAGTAATCAGTTTCTTGACTAACTGAAGGAAATATATAGTTAGTGTATTTTAACCAACATAGTCATTTTAACAGTTGCGCTGAGCGTTCCGATTTTCGGCTATCTCAAAATAATCATAATGATAGAAGAGAAATAAGAATACCATATAAAGTTCAAAGAATACATGAAAGCATTAAGAGGTTAGTGAATACTGGCCGGGACAAAGTAGAGGACTTTCGCTTTATATATCTTGGTTCGTAGGTTAATGATGATAATTTATTTCTAAATAATGTGATTTCTGAGTGATAGTATCATAAAATTTCATACAGAACTATAAATAAACACAAAACAACCATTTAAGGGAAATAATTCGATTTCAATTTACACAGAAAACCACGACACAAAAAATCGCACCGATTTTTAGGCATCTACTGGAACAAATACCATAAAGTCTTATACGCTAAAAAATCCTGTCCCATTTCGACAAAACAAAAACGCCGCCCAACTAACATCTCAAAAGAGATGACAGCCCTATGTTCTTTACGAAAAGATGAAACGGTTATAATTACCAAGGACAATAAAAATAAAACAGTGGTCATGAACAAAACGGATTTCAAAGAAAAAGTCGTTGAACATCCACCTAAGGAAGCGTATTTAAAGATAGACTTAAAATATCTTCCAATAATTAAAGTTAAATCAGATACAGGCCAACTTCTTAAAGAACTAAAGTCATTTACTAATATCTCCTAATTCTTTTCTTTATATATCATCAAATTGTTCACCACATCGCGTTTGTGAGGGTTACCAAATATATTATAAATTCCAAAAACACTCCGATATATACTGTATCTAAATATCTAAGAGGTGTACTGAAACATCTTCGAAACAACTTACACAATACCACTAAAGATTCCTATGATTTTAAATCAAAATTTTCGGATCTAACCGCCAAAGAAAACGAAACAATGGTAAACCATGATTTTGTATCTTTACAGACTACGATTCCCATTGATAGATGACCAGACTTTAACAATGGCTTAATAGATGATGATCATATTCTATCTAGCGGACGTCCATTAACTTAGTGATTAAATCTCTTAAATTCCGCCTGACTTCGACCTCATAAACATACAAATAAATTTAGTATAAACAAACCAACGGAGTTACTATGGAACAATCTGTTTAATCGATTGTCGTTAATTTGTTCATATCCTATTCAAAATCGCGTAATTTTGGCAGTACCATCAGACATCACATTCAGCTCATCAGATTTGTAGATGACACTTTTGTCACCATGAAAAATACTTTCTCAGGGCACACAAAATTAACTTTCGAAAATGAACTTAGTGAACTACCATTTTAGAAAGTTTAGTCAAAATAAATTTAAATGGAAGTTTAAATCGAACCATCTAACACAAACCGACACATTCAAATTGATGTATTAGTTTCAACTCGGCACATTCACTCAATGCAAAAGTCCCTTTGATTCTAAAATGCTTTAGACGAGCGTCAAACATTGTGACATAGCGTGAAGGGAAACAAAAAGAACAAACATATAATCTTCTTACTGTTTAATAACTTCCCCATGAATATCATCAAAAATATACTAAAACAAAACGTTCCTTTGTCGAACAATAACAATAGTAAGTTGAATGGACTATCATGGGTTGGCACTGCAGTTCTATCATACCGTCATGGTACAACAGAAGAACTACAACGAATCCTTAGTTCACACAGAATTTAAACTTTCTATAAAATAACGAACACCCTTCGAAATGCTTTGGTTCAAATCAATGATAAAATTCCTATCACTTCAACACGGCATTGTGTCTACAGACTAGGATGTGTAGACCGTATCGCATTCTATGCTGGAGAGTCTTCTCGTGGACTCATGACAAACAACATCTAGGCTACACAAAAAGACCGCCAAATAATCATGCAGAACTAGAGCATCTACAAATCAAATCAGCAATAACAGTACATACTAATTTTAACAACCACCATATCAATATTAGTGACACCAAAATTAGTCACAAAGGATTTTCCAATTAAAAAGGCAAGTGGCTGAAGCCCTTCATGTTTTCTTAAACCCTACTGGGCTTAGTAGGAAGGAAGGCCTAACGACCTATACAAATATTCACACAACTAATTATGTTCACATCTCACGCCACTAACAAACATACAAATATTCCTAACCCCACTCTTCCACATTACAAATATCATTTTCCACACACACAACTACATGCAGCTAGATCTCACACAATACGAAATAACCTTGTTCGGAAGAACACAAGAATATAATCGTGATTAGACCTATCTTAATTTCGACTGTACTAAAAGTATTCTGATTTTCGTCTCTTGAACTTGTGTCAATTCAATTTATTTATTCTTATCCTGTGAAAAAGTGGCCTACGCCAAATCATGAAACGTCAGAAATCTAGCTTCTACTCGTTGGGACTTTAAAAATTCATTATTTCCACTAACGATGTGTAGGGAAAAACCACTGACAGAAAGAATGTTTATGCAATATGTACACCTAGTTTAGTCATCCATTTGCAATTCAAGTTTGCTCTAGACTGTCTTCTCTCGCTTCTCTTTTGATCCCCGGTGCTCTGTATATGCCATGTTTTTTAACCTCCTGGAACTATTCTCTTTGGCTGTCGACTGTAACAACTTCCATGAGGTGTGGCGCTACGTACTATTTAAAAGCAATCTTGTGAATACCACTCACCACAGAAAATCTCAATGTTTTAAAATTCTGATCTTATTTTAAATTAACTCATGATCATTTACTGCTGATAATTTGTCAGGTATTTTTAACGCGTTGCAAGTAATTGACCAACAACAATGTCTTAACTCTATCAGCCCCAGTTAGTAAATGAGTAAGAAAATTCTTAGCGAAAAAACGGTGCATTTAGCTTATGAAAAGACCAACTGTAGCTAGCTCTCTTAACCTAGTGAAATACTTCACTAAAACTAAATGGAATTATAATAGGAGACATGAGCATACAAAAAATGAGTTAATTCAAAATCTTGTGACCAAATGTTCAATAATCAATCAATAATTATATAATGGTTAATTGATATTACTGTATGCATAGAAATATGTAACGAAAAATAATCATAAAAATCAACAAACCAGGTTAGCAAGGAATCACGATAAGAAACAAAATCCCGTCGTTTATTGACCAAACGGCACGGAGTTACGGAAAACAGTGGACAAGTATCATGAACAACTGAACGTGGTTCAGGGGATGGAAATGCCCTTCTCTTGTAAGTAATATTCTGGGAAAGTTGAGTGATTACCTTCCCGAGAGTAAACAACGACTTGTTGATTTGACAGCTTTCCTAAAGCACATGGTGAATAAAACAGTGGACCTATAAAATTTCAAGAGGTCACTGAAGAGAATACTTACATCTGACACTGATAAAACGTCTTAAAACGATGCTGTCATTTTGAAAATCAAAATAACATGATATTACAAGAAATGAATGAAAGAAATGGCAATAAACACTGACAAATTTAATAGTTACGGGAAACATTTGAATTATAAATCAACACTTCAAGCTTTTGCGTAATGAGACGGATCTTTATTTCCTTCATACCTTCATTCATACTGCTAGTCTGAATTATTGGAAACCTCATTCTATAGTACAAACCGCTCAACAATACTTTTACTGTAATTTTGAGTTGATCAAGTGTACATAGAGTTGTACTTTTGCTAAATAGTAATCCTTTGCAGTCACATATCAGACGGTTTTCTGATAATACTATGGTTCAGTAGGACATAAGTTACAAGGGGAATAATCGTATTTGTTATAAATTCGAGTGTTATTAGTGACAAGCGTTCTCATTATCACATAAATTCACCCGTTATACCAGCAAATAATATTTAATCTTTACTACGATTTAAATGACTCTTTCGAACTAACAATTCCTAAACTATAAGATTTGTTAAAAATCCTTTAAGAAATGAAAATAAATCCCGGGGAACTGAATAAGACTTCGAAAACAAGAGACTCATTCAGCTTTTGAGCAAAAGAACTTATTGTAACCGATCCAGAGCCTAGAGAATTGAACAATGAGCAATAAAAACAAGCCAGTTCTTAATTTTACCGAGTTTCGTCAAGCTGATACTTCGTTAAACTGGCTGTCTATTTAAATTTTGTCATAATTTCAGTGAGTAAAATAAGAAGTAAACCTAGGTAGACAACTAGTATAAATGAGTATGAATTATTTTACCTACTTATTGATAGCAACATTTAAAATGGATTTGAGTAAAATTCACGAATTTGTTACCCATTTATAAGTTCTTACACTACTCCGTAAACCATGCCAAACAAGAACGGGTAAAATGGGCTTAAAAATATTATATTTGACTTTTATGCAATATTAGCGTTTTGAAACGGAAAATCGGTACTTTAAATCGTCAGTCAACTCTTCACACCAGTGATAATAACAATAATAATCGCTTTATGCAACACCATAAGTTTGGTTACAGAAAATAATTCTCGGCGTATTGAGTGGTTGCTACACATCTACGTCTGCAAAAGTTTCCAATCAGTTATGCCCCTATGATGTAGGAATCGAAATGGAATTTACACTCGTTGTTTTATAGGACTACTGTGGTGGTTGTGTGTGAACGTTGCACTATTTAGCTTTCCGATACGTTGTAGGCATTCTAAATAAGGACATGGTGCGGTTATCATACAAAACTATTCAGTCAAAATAAAGAGGAAATGGAACAATTTATCCTAATATTTGTACTGTTGGATAGTACGTAGGCTATTTATGTGGAAGCCTATAACTCACTACAGGTTCTAAAAAGTTTAAACTTTATAGCCTTTCCCTCCTTACTGAACACTTTTTTTAACGATATGAATAATGCATCTTAACTAAATCATTCAACCGCGACCAAAAGTTTAATTCAATCCTTTAGTCATATGGAAGTTGCCATACGGTACAGATCTTTGTACTTACTTTTAGATCTTATATTTTATGTAAGTCAGTCAGTCAAACGCAAAGCAGAACCTAGTATATGTGCATATCGGAGCAAATTGCCACACCCTATTAGCAATGAGATGAAATTCCCAAGCGGTAAAAGTAACAACAGTGTTGCTGGTAATAGAAAAGATTAGGCACTGAAGACACGATTCAAGATTTTAATTAATGAATTTTATAAAACTGCAAGGAATTTAGAAACTTAAAATCTAAGGGAAGATAAAGAGCGAATGGACCTACATCATTGCGAATGATCTTGATACATGTCATTGCAAGTCTCTTACCACTAGCTAAGATAATCACGCTGTCACCGCTCAATTAATTTGCACCAACCTACATTGTTCAGTCCAACAATTATTGCATCCACGAACTGATGCCATGTTTCGGGTTGGTCAAGCCTAGTTTCCACCCAAAATACTTCTACAGCAGACATCAACCATCGAGTCAGTCAGTCAGCTATCACAATGTAGAACTTCGTACGTACGTGCATCAGTTCGAATTGCCATACCACATTAGCACAGAGATGCAGTTGTTGATTCAAATCCCACAGTGGTAGAAGTAGTAAGAGTATAAGCAGTAATCGGAAAGATTAGGGTTTGAAGATGTTATTCAAGGAGTATAATCCAGTTCAGTAACTTTGGAAAGAGGAAAAAGATAGAGACATGAGGAATACAAAAGATTAGAATTTGGTAGAACACAAAGAGTGGATGCACCTTCGCCACTGCAAATGATTTTGAGCTGTCATTCAAGGTCTCTAACCATCGGTTACTATCATCTCGCGGATCCCAACCAGGTGGTCTATACCTGCCAACATGGCTCAGTCCACTTGTCAGTGACTCCATGGATTTGTGCCACGTTTCGGTCTGGCCGCCCCTACCTTTCTTCCAACCTACTCCTACACCGTGAAATATCGCACGTCGGGGCAGTCGGTGGTTGGGCATACGTATTACATGTCCCAGACATCTCAACTGATAAGGTTTCACTACTTTACCAATCGATTTCCCATCCTTACCTAGTACCCGTTTCCTAACAACTGCATTACTTACCCGGTGGTCCCAGGATATACGAGCAATGCTTCGAAGACACCTATGATCGAATACTAGTAATCTACAAATACCTTCTATTCTTATCGGCCATGTTTCACTGCCATAAAGTAAAACAGAGCGAACTGCTGCACAGTAAACCCATCCTTTTGTTGCTAGACGGATAACTCGCCTACGCCATAAATGATGCAAGTTGGCAAAAGCTAGACGAGCCTTCTGTATCCGTGCTGAGATTTCGTCACACACCACACCACAAGGGCTGATGAGACTCCCAAGATAAGTGAAACAGTCAACACGTTCAACTACTTCACTCCTTATCATTAGTTCAGGTGTCGATGCAACCCAATCCTGAAGTAACATTTTGCACTTCGAGGGAGAGAATCGCATCCCGAACATGCCTGCATTGTTGCTTATAGTGGTCAGAAGACTGCATTTTGTCAGCGTCTTCACCAAATAAAACTATGTCGTCGGCGTATTCTAAGTCAACAAGTGAATCTCCCGGTAAAAGTTCAACTCCTAGAATTCGTGCGGAGATTTTGTTTGACACCAGGGTTGGTGAAATTAGTTCACTAATCAGTATTTTTTTTTAATTAGCGATAGTCTTAGTGATACCCAGAAAACGTAACTCAAACTTGTAGTCAGGAATACATTGTGAAAGAGAACTAAAACATTAGTATTCCAAAAATGTGACGGTGAAGAGTAGATAACGTTGGAACGGCTAAATCATCGATAGCTTAAGCTAACTGCTAATCAAGAAAACACGGTTCTGGATAAAGCCCACTAGAATATGGGTTAGGTATTTTCATTGTTATCTACTGTATTGCAGAACACTAGATCTACTTTTTCAATGTAGTAATTTTGACTCACTGAAAACACATCTTAACATTCATTACCAGGACGTTCAATAATACTTTCTTATACATACTATCAAGTGTTGAATTACTAACCGCTCAAAAATAATGCAAAAATAAATCCTTTCAAATAAGATATTAACCACTAAAACACTGGGATGGTTTGAAAATATTTACTTTAAAATGTAATATATCACCTACATTCTTAATAAAATTTTAAAAAGCACTAGAAATGAATGGTGTAATTTATTTATTACAACTTTAAATAAGCTTTAAAAACCATGCTATTAATAAATACATGGAATCATTGAATACAACCAACATAAATCCTAATATATGAACTATTTTGAAAAATAGTACTCAAATATAACAAACTTACAATAAAACGTCCACTCAAAGTCGATGTAGATGTTTGACGTTCACTTCCAGCGAGATCAACAACGGTTATGTGACTATTATACATGTTGTCAATATCTCCTAAAATATGTTTAGTCTGGAAAAGTTCAAATCAGACAAAACGTTCGTAATCAAAAAATAACTTCGTTGTCATATTCACAAACACTAAATTAGTTAACGATCACAGTAAAACGGATTTAAGTTTGTATTCTGATTACAAAATGTTATTTAGATTAACACAAATTCTGATTGTGGAATCAATAACGTAGAATTCATTTACGTGGCAGTCGTGATATAACTATCATATAGAACTTTATTATGCGTTTACCGAGTAAACTTCTATATGAATGTAGTAAGAACTTATTCATGCACACCATTATCATTATGGTTAAGGGTTACTAGACAAAGTTATTGTATAAAAACAGAGTGACAAAAGGTAAGTAAGTCGTAAGCGATGTAAAACCTGGCACTTGTGTATATTGATACAAATGGTAATTCACTGAGTTCATTTTCGAAAGTTAATTTTGTGTGCCCTGAGAAAGTATTTTTCATGGTGACAAAAGTGTCATCTACAAATCTGATGAGCTGAATGTGATGTCTGATGGTACTGCCAAAATTACGCGATTTTGAATAGGATATGAACAAATTAACGACAATCGATTAAACAGATTGTTCCATAGTAACTCCGTTGGTTTGTTTATACTAAATTTCTTTGTATGTTTATGAGGTCGAAGTCAGGCGGAATTTAAGAGATTTAATCACTAAGTTAATGGACGTCCGCTAGATAGAATATGATCATCATTTATTAAGCCATTGTTAGTCTGGTCATCTATCAATGGGAATTCTAGTCTGTTACTTTTGACAATCCAACAGTATAAAAGAATAAGAGATCACCCAAATTATTCATTTTGATGAATTGAATGTTTTATTCTTCAGATAACTCCTCATGAAGCCGATATTTCAAACCAGTTTCCGTCCACCGTTAACTCGATCAGTCAGTTTATAAATATCAGATCAACGAATAGATAAAATTATATCCAACAAAGAGCTCACATGGAATTTTCTGAAGGTATTACATCATGTAAAAAAAATGGGATCTGACTAATGCTAATCCTATACATATATGCTAAATAACAGTATATTACTGTCGATATTAATGAACGAATTCAAGGCTTTTATAACTAATAACAATGCGAAAATGCAGAAGCATGAGATAGAACAGATGATCCAGCTGTTTGAAACCCTTCGAATGTACTTTGCGTGAATGGATTCGTATTAATAGTAAGTCGCTGCAAACTAATTTACATATTTTTAACATCTATACGAAAAGCTTATGAAACTAACAGTTGAACGCTTCGTCAGTGATAATACAAGTACGGTGTGTGAGCGACTGCTGTTTTCGTTCAGAGGAGTGGCAGCCACAGCACGTAAACGATTCCCAAAATTAAGTCGTTTTATGATATCCGATTCAGACCAAACTTCTTCACATAACAAACCGTCGATGTATGGGCCAGTTACTGGGTGTTCACGAACTACAAGCTGAAATTTAAACGATAATAAATATGGATAATAACAATAAATCAACATTTCTTAGACAGAAAAGGATTCTTTTTTAGGTATTAGGATACCAAAACTTCGTCTAAATCAAAAAGCAGTTACGTTAATAAGCTAGAAAAGACTAGCTGATGTTTGAAAAGATACCGACTACGGACAAATTGCGCAAGACTTTATTTACGATGGTACTTCGACACGAAATCTCAGAGTATGGAGACTCATATACCGAATTCTAAAAGGTATCCAATCATGTTCTAGGCAGTAGAATTATGTTGATTAGAAAATCCAAACCTTTTAACTAATAGAAGTCGATCGTAGCCGACACAAAGCCTGGCACAAACTTATGTTCTCATATTCTGCGAGCACGACTAGATTAAATTAGCAAAGTGAATAGCAAGAACCAAAACAATAGTACTGCAAATAAAAGTAGGAAAGATTAAACATTGGAGAATCTAGTGATATGATAAGTTCGAGGAACAAAAAGTATGAAACATTACCAAAGCTCAAGATTAGTAGAAATGTAAAAACCGAACGCACTTGCGTCACTATGACACCCTAAGCCATTCAATGTCTACAAACAGCCAGTCATAATGAACGTAGGGCTCGGCACAAATTTATTTTGGCTCGTTTCCATGTCCCATTAACACGATGAGATGAATTTAAGATGAATAGCAAAGGAACTGAAACTACGTGGTACCAGTGATGTTAAAAAAGACAATATTGGGAATACGATTCCGAAAGACAGAGTGGAAAGGTATATATGGGGGAACACTAGGACTAACGATCTAGGAATCATGGCTGAATACAGGTGTCAGTGACTGATTATGAGCTGTCACGAAATATCTTCGAGCACAGATTTGCAGTTATTGTGTGAATCCATACAAAGTATCGTGTTTTTCTACGCCGCTTAAACCAGTAGTCGATGAATTCATAGACTTGTTTTCTAACTACTGTACCATGGTAACTGACGATGTCTGAAGACTTGTGCCCAAACGTGTTCTGTCTTACATTTCTACTACTACTGAAATTTTTGCTTCTACTACCCGTGAATTTATAGTTGTAGTTTTATTTCTCTGTGATATGGCACGGTAACGTGAACCGATACATGTGTCAGGTTTGACATTGAACATAATCGACTGATAGATTTCCTAAAGCACACTCGTTACAAAAAATGTCCGTCAATAGTGCTGTGATTTAGGTCTTGGCCCCCCAACAGCGCAGAAACATAAAATTAACAGTCCTACGAAAATTACTGTTCACACGTGGTGAGGATTAATATCAAGGTAAACTGAGGTCATATTTATCTTACCCCGTTTCTGGTAGAATTCGACGAAAGGAGGTCACGTATTCGTTCATTATAAATTTCATAATAACTCATTTTAACAGAAAATCTTGTAGTGGGTTCCTAAATGCACATCAAACAGGATCAACTACCAAGAGTACCGTTCTTCTTCCAATTTCCTCGAACACGTCTTTTGAAATTCTCCGGATTATTCCCGGGTCATCAGGAGGTCCAGTTATACTACATTTAAAAGATATAAAAAATATCAAACTGAAACATATGGAGAAATAACCTGATATTTGCGGACAAACTAATCAAATTTAAGATGACAGGTCTTAGATCTTGGTGCGAAATTCATCCACCGATTGGTTAATTAGCATTTTGGCATTACAGCTGGTCATTTCGTGATAAGACCCTAAATCTTATTCCTTACCCAAACATCCAGCAGTAAATCCTAATCCTGATTCCTCACACCAATTTATAATCCAGCAAGTGGACATGCCTTATGTCAATGTAGCGCGGCTCAAAGGTCGTCGATATATCACTCTAACCGTTAAGTAGATACTGAACCCCTTAGAACTTAGAGTAGGAAGAATAGTTCAACTTATTTGTTAAGCACAGTTTACGTACTTAGACTTCGACAACAAATTTTTGCATGAAGATTAGTGGTTTTACTCAGAGAAACTCAAGTAAGCGAGTTTGAAAATAGGAATCAGTAGGTAGAAGCCAAACGCTTTAACTACTAGCCAGATTGACCAAAACGTCTTACTTGTAAACTATTGAAACATTGCAAAAGTAGAACTTCCAGTAATTTCCATGGATTTGGAACAATAATTAGATAGGCACAAGGATACAAACAATATAGTGTGACGATACAATAAGTACCACACTCACAAAAATAACTGCGTAATCACATGTTTAAAGGGTCCTTTTCTCATTGCTTTTTGTTTTCCCTTTCAAGTAGAAAACAAATTATTTTACAGTTGCCACAAATCCGTTAGATATATCTCAAACTTGAGGAAGGAATAGGATCTATAAAGAATTACTTAGCAGACTGAGTGAATATCCGTCAACATGCATTGAAATGCATACTACTGGTTGAAAAACCCATTTGCTAACTAGTGTTTTATACACTTGGATTTGAACAACTTCGTGAGTGCTAAAGGTACTTTCTTGCTGCCTAAACTGAAGTAGGTGAAGTTTAGACGTAAGACCTGTTGACCGAAATCTTATCCTTTAGTCGCGTCTGACATCCTTAGGATAAAACTTTATGAATATTTATATAGTGAAAATCAAGGATGTTTACCTATATGTTTTCCCAGAAGAGGTCATTCCGTATGCGAAAAGGCATGCATTGTAACCTTCCAAAGCTCTTATCAATAATGGAAACCCAAGTGTTTGGTACACTAACTCCTGACTTGCATGTGGCATATGATTCGATCCATCGTTAAGTGACCAAAATGTGTGATCGAATTGGAACTCACGAACATTAACGTTATTTTTAACATTGGATTCGAACACATGGACAACACCTGGTTTAGGGATCTGAATAGGGCACTGTCGGTTGTTTAGGGCCTCCCTGAATACATAATCTTAGGTCGTACTACTTACCGTTTTGTTAAAGGCCTTACCCTGACAGCGACAATAACTGAAGACTCCATATGGAACGGACACTTGATTTGAATGAGTTATCGCGTCTTTTAAACAAATACTTGAGAATCTAGTCCTCATTAATTGCAACCTATTTATGGCGATCGGGATATACCTCTACTACCCATTTAGTTACAGTATTTTATCAGTTAATCGATAGAAAGTTGAAAAACAGTATTTTCTTGACGGCAGTTTAAGTAATTCACGACACCATATTAGAATTGTAGATTTGTGTTCAGAAACTAAAGGGGCTCAGGCTTGTGTTATCCGCTTCTTACTATATGTCTGAGCCCCTTCATTCATGACGTTTGAATTGATTGACTTAGTGTCCTTTGATTATAAAGGTGTTGCCAAACCCAAATAATCTGTCATCTTTTATAGTGAGCCCAACACTATCTGTTAACCTAAACAACAAAATTAATTTCCTTCTTGGATCATTATGAATAACTTTTAGTCTTTATTTTTACATACGTTGATATTATTCATATATTTTCAGTCATTTATTTTCACGCTCACGATATTTTCCCCATCATGACGAAACAGACGTTCAAGATGTCGAAAAAGTGGAACGTTCCTTCGTCAAACGATGGGTAGCGAACTTCGGCTGTTCTTCACCCATCACTACAGACCGTGGACACCAGTTTGGGTCCGGAATTCTCCGTTTTCTTACTACACTACTGTGAATCACATGATTTAGATGACCGACTATCATCCGCAAGATAACAGGTTGGTAGGAATCTTTCACTAACAGTCGAAAGCTTCACTCTCATCTGCAAGCACCTCATAGTGCACCAAAACTCTTCCACTCGTCTTACTCGGTATTCGCAATGCAGTGAAAACTGAAATTGGATACACTGCAGCTCAACCCATCTACGGAACAACACTCCGACCTCCAGGAGAATTTGTAGTAGCTGGCCCATATAAACTATCCTAGCTTCTGGACAGACTAATTTATTCGTTCTCTTCAAGCTGTTTTTTGACCTTGCCACTTGACTGTTTGTAAGCCCTGACTATTTTTATATGATCGTATATGTGGTAATTACTTACCCCATACATTATATCTGTGACTTATTTTCATTTGACCATAAATATCGAGTCACGCTTGATTGAATTGAGTTGACACAATCACCTTTTCCACCGCGCGTCATTTCGTTTCGCTTCGCCCTCTACTCTGCGCTCCCTTCGCTTCTTTTCTTTAACTGTCTGTCTCAATCGACAATTTTATGGAATGTACGTATAGGAAATTCATTCTCGTATTTGGCCTATCGTATTCCTTTATTCACTAACGCGAGTTAAGTTGATGATTATATACGAGGCCAGCTAATATGTATATTTAGATGACAGTCAGCATAGGATCTAACTGGAATCAGATAAAAGGTCATAAAAAAACCATGGGTCCTTCATCTTCATTGTTGATAGGTCAAAACTCCTACAATAACAGGCTTGCAAACGCCATGTGTTCAGTTAGACCCGTTTCCTTTCGATTCCCATCAACTGATGTTTTCTTTCAACTTGTCCTACGATACAGTACACAAGCTTTCAGACGTTGCGATTCATTATGACAACTTCTAGAGATAACATACGAAGGACCACAAAAGTTCTTCATCGTAAACCTAAATACTATACCACTGACAGAGGCGGAACTAACAATAATGTCGTTGTGGACCGTATTAAGGCCGCCCCCTATTTGGAAGGATACTAATAATGTTGGCTTTCCTCCTACATACTTGAACTACACTTACCTCGCGATCAAGATTTCTTCCCTGATAATCGATAACCACGACGGAACTTCCCTATTATTTGACTACCGGTCTAGTTCGACCTGGAGTGTATATGTATTCACATCCTTTGTCAATTCTCTCCACATTTTGACATCATCATAGTATTGTAGATTTGAAGACTAAATGATACACAGGAATTCTTCACACGATGTTCAATAAGTAAAGGATTTATAACATAGTCTCTAAGTACTGGTTTCCACAAGAAACATTCGGAATTCATTCATATTTTCTGCAGACCACCTACCAGAAAATCTTTGGCCCACTACAATAGAGACTCGGAAATAACTAGGTTTTCTGGTTTCAGTAAGAGCCTATTATACGAAAACTTATCAAATGCTTCGGGTAAATCAATTCGGACTACATCCACAGGTTTTTCATTATTAGACAACTCCATTCCTCTTCCTTCCGCCAACAGAAGATTGGTCGTGCATGAAAGTTCTCTCCAGAGACCATTTTTCTCACTTCCTGACAGGTTCTTAGCTTTAGTGGGGATTACAATGACCTTCTGAATGGTGTTTTGGTATTTTAACTACTACACAGATGGGTCTTACAGATCCCTGTTCCAACAATTTTCCAGATCATATCTTCCGAATCGGAGTGATGGAAGTATCCTTAATGTCCACAACATAATCTGGCTGAGTAAAGTCTTGAGTATCGTAGTAAGTGGAACAATAATGTACAGCCACCAGATTATAAGGTGTAATCTATCCAATTCCGTTGATTTCCACGTATCAAAAGGGCTTAGTATCTTCAGTAACTATTCCCAGCTGAAGATGAAGGTGAAGAGCGGGCTTATTTATGCTGCTTCCGGATCCAGTTCTCCGTCCAGAGGAAGCCTTCACGTATATACTTGACAATGATTCAATTATGCACTATGGTTCATGGGCGTCACAGAACGATAAGGAGCAATATTTCTTGTGTGTGAACTTGAAAAGGAGGATAAAAATAGGATGAATGTGGTACTGAGCAACACTTTTCCTACATGCACTGCTGACCACTGATGTATTGACCAGTCCATGGCGTATACCTAACTGATGCGCGTTTGTTGTACTTGACTTTGGCGAAGATCTGTGAACCCTTCGATATTCAGTGACTTGACTACTGAGTGGCTCAGCTAGGGCACAGTGATATTCTGCTGACTTTACATACGTTACAATAGGACGGGGAGTCTAAATGATAGACTATAGTAGCAATTACCTAGAATATAATGAAAACATGATCACTTTACTGTATCGTTGGAAGTTATCCAATTTGACTGGAATTACCAGGAGTGAGAAGTTTGAAACAGGAGAGAAAAGTGGGTTGTTTCTAGTGGGACATCTGATAAACAGGACTATCGTGGTTTCTAAAATTCCGAAACCAGACGACTTTTGTACGATTCTTGTCTTTTATTTATATCAGTCTGCAGACGATGCACAGGATATTTTCATTGCAGGACTTCATCGTCAGGATTACACCCTATTTAGAAGGAAATCATCCACCACATATTCAGAACCATGGTACACCATAACTGGCTGATGTTTTGGCCCTTACATTTCAGCCGATATCACTCCGATTCTCATATCTCCAGGTCGTAGTTTCTGTCTTGACAGCAGGTAGTTTTAAGGAGGTTTCAAAGTTCAGGATAACGTCACCTCTTCTAATTTCCCGTTTGTTGTCTCTGCAAAGTAAGATGCCAAAGAAATGAAAATCGTTATGATTTGTTTTTGATACCAGCCATGTTTCCGGTAAGCATATACATAAGTTTTCTTTGTTTTACGAGTTCTTGCGTTCTTTAACCACTTTTAATGAACTGATAGCATTTATATGAGGATCACTCATATTAAGTTGCTCAATTTTATCGACTTTAATTCCCCGAAGAAAATAAACTATGCCAAAAGTACAAAAATACTTCAAACGGTACATTTTGTGCTATGTAGTCAAAGTTTTCTCTAGCACAAATCAACATACCCAAAAGCAAAAAGAAAGCTTAATAAATGAGTGAGCAACATTTAACATTACCTAAACAATCCATGGAAGAAAATGCTCACCAATCTTGACTGTTTACCAGGAGATATGAATAATTAATAAGACATTGGTGTTAGAAAAGACATTAAGCGTTCAAATTTATAGCCTCGGTTGACCGAAACACAAATTTTCGGCAAATTTACAACTTTCAGACAAATGAATTGAAAACTCAACTTTTGACAACAAAACGCTTTAATCTCATTAGTGCATTGTGAATTCATCGAAATGTTCCTCATAGAAACTACAATGATAAATCTCATGAAGAGACCATCGACATTTAGTTTTCGAGCGTTAAAATACGAAGCGACAAACTGAAGGCAAGGTGAAAGCTAGGAGTTCAAGGCCGAAATTATAAACACAGGAAGTTTGAGTCTTGAAAGAAACACTTACATGTTATGCCGGTGAAAAGGGTGATATTTACAGTGATAGTCTATAATAAGTTAAATACATCGAGTTCCAATCGCTATGATTCTGACGCTAGAGAATTACCGAGACGGTATTAATCGGCCGTGCAGATAAAGTAATGGAGTAGATTTGTGTCGTCTCTATATTTAATGAATCATATAGTGAAATTGCGTTTGTTTTTCAGAACGAGAAACCCCAACCATCACGATATGCCGAGTTAGAGCGGACAGTGTTGTGACCGAGACTTGAGATCACATAGATTGGATATCGTGAAGAGTTAATTATGTTATAGAAGAGTAATAATTCTAGCAACTTAAATAAGCTCGGTAATAACAGTATTACTACTAAAAACTATATTTCTGAGACTGTTGGATTTTAGGTCTATGGTTTCTGTAACTACCAAAGTCCCGATATTTGCTTTGGACACACAGGACCATCAAACTAGTCTTTTCATTTTAAGTTGCTCAAGTAAGTACATATGCACCACATAAAAATGCCTTTGTCCGTACTTTATTGCATGCGTTATAATGATAATATTCGCAAATTTAATTTATTCATGCTTTATTTTGGACATAGGAAAATGTAGTTTCGGATTGCGGTTCGTTCAAATACTATACGTTGCGCCTAATTTTCTACAAATTTTCCCCCAAATACACGACGGAAACGGGAAAATCGACTTTCCCCCTAAAAATAACTGACGTACAGGCGAAAAATCGACATTTATATGCACTCTCTGTTCTAATAAACAGTCTTCCTTATTCCAGTCCTGACTCCCCTCCGTTCATTCGAACCTACTCCACCTTGATCAATATCACAACTCATTGTTCTTTACTACTGCATTCTCTCATCTGGAGTCCTTGATT